CACTGTCGTTGGCTAAAGAAGTGCAAACATATACCTAGCTTCAAAAAGAGGGAAAAAGAAATTACAGATCAGTCCACCTCATTTAACATCAAGATAAAAAGATACTAGAATGAATTATTAAACAACCAATTTGCAAGCATGTCTAGAGGATAAGGTAATAAGGTGACACCCACAACAGATCTGTCAAGCACCTACTGTGTCAAACCAATCAAATTTCTTTCTCTAACAGAGTAACTGATCTAGCGCATAAAGGAAAAGTAGTAGATGAAATGTATCTTCACTTTAGTAAGGCTTTTGACAATTTCATATGCAAACAGGAGAAAGATTATTGCAATTAAATCACCATAAGGTACACACCCAGTTGAAAAGCTGCACTCAGAGTAAGTTTGCTGGTCAACTGATAGAACATTATCAAGCCTGCCATCAAACTGGAAGAACATTTCAAACAAAAAATCCTACAAGGTTTTGTCCTTAGCCTAGTTATATTTTCTATATTTTCTCCAATTAGTTAGAAAATGGGAGAGTGCACTCATGGGCCTATTTACATTTTCACTGACACCCTGCCACACTTTTAGCTGCTTTCATTTCTTGGAATCTCAGAAAAACAGAGACTCCCCATGCCTGAAGAAGGGTGACTGCACCCAAAAGCTTGCTAAGACCTTTTTTCCAACTATTCAGTTGGTCTAATAAAAAGATATCACATCTACTCAAAGAACCTTGCCTGCCTATGTCCTTACACCAACACAGCTACAACCAAAAACCCAGCTCATGGGCAGATGACACCAAGCTAGGACAGACCGCAAATACTTCAGAGTGGCAGGATTCACATTCAAAACAATATTGATAAAATGGAAAAATGCCTAAATGCATCTAGATAAAATTGAAGAGAAACAAGAACAATTTACCATGTTAACAGAGAGAAATCACAAAAAGTTGGCCTGAAAGACACCTTAGGACTAGGTCACTTAGTCCAGCTGCCTGTTCAAGGTAGCATCATCCCTTTCTAAACCATCTCATCCAAATATCTGTCTGACCTGCTCTTAAACACATCCAAAAATGGAGATTTCACAACCTCTCTAGGCTATTTACTCCAGTGCTTAGACAGTTAGAAAGTTCTTCCATATATTCAACCTACATTTCCCTTCTTGCAATTTAAGACCATTACTTGTCCTGTCCCCTACAGACACAGATATAATCCCTATTTTATATTTATCTAGTCAGCCAGTAATACCGCACAAAAGGAAGTAGGAGTTTTAGTGGATCACAAAGTGAACGAGGTGTAAAAAAACTGATACTGTTGCTAGAGACAAATACCTTCTTTCTAGGATA